CCTACCGCCCCCCGGGGTATGCGCTATAAACCATCGACGACAACGATGACCTCAAAGTCTCCGGCGCTCTAACTAGTAACTACTACACACGCGCTGCTGCTAGCGGTACGTGCAGGCTCCGTAGAGCCAAGACCCGTAACACCCCCGTAACAACCGGACCTTGAGATTCCAGCTGCGTGCGAGCGAGCGTGCTCAGTCGTCTGCGAAGAAAGAGAGGTATATAGTGACTCCCCCCACCACCTCCGTCTCGCCCGAACACGCGCACAGGCGGGAGAACAACACCTGACGTCAAGCGCTACGCAGTACCGTGCACGAGCGCGTCTCAGAGAGTAAGATATACAGAAAAGACACGTCAGCGTAAGGCGAAGAACAAAGAGAAGGAGTTAACATACGTTGTGTACGGCGAAGCTACAGAGAAGGAGATACTATACGTTAGTGTAAGAAGAAGACGGTACAAAAAGAGGTAACCATACGTTAGTGTAAGAAGAAAACTACACAAAGAAGTAACCATACGTTAGTGTAAGAAGAGGATACAAAGAAGGCGTATCCATACGTAAGTGTGAAACAGCTACAGAGAGGAGTACCCATACGCGAGCGTAAGAAGGAAGCTACAGAGAGCAAACGTACAAACATCTTGAAGACCGTCCTCTGCGATCGCCACGATGACGTCGCATCGCAGCGTCCTCCTCGCGTTATCTCTCGTCTGCCTGCTGCCGACGTTGCCGTCCGCTCACGCTGGCGGCTCCATGTTCTGTCCTAACGACTACTACATGGACGTCGTCGGGTGGGGCTGCATCGAATGCAGTCCGTGTCCGCGTGGCAGCAGCATGCTACGGCGGTGCGGTGCCTACGGCGACACCCAGTGCCTGATCACCCAGCGCCCAGGCGATGATGACGATGGTAGGTACGCGAGCGATGTCTCGATGTTCGGCGACATGATGGGCGGCGGCGGCGGCGGCGGTGACGTTGACGATGGTAGGTACGCAAGCGTCGACTCCATGTTCGACAACATGATGGGCGGCGGCGGCGGCGGTAACGTTGACGATGGCCGCTACGGGAGCGTCGACTCCATGTTCAACTCCATGATGAACGAAGGCTTTCCGCCGGACATGTTCGGCGCCATGGTAACCGGCGACGCTCAACCACCGCTCGACATCGCCGCCATGTTGTCTCCCGCGGTGGCAACGGGCGGCGACGACGGCGGGTATGACGTCAGCTACTCGATGTCGGAGGGCATGCAACAACAAGATGGCGGAAAACCCGTCGTCAAGATGGAATACTCGGTCGTCGACGGCATGACGGGCAAGAGAGTCGGCTGGGAGTACGACTCGAGAACAAATGGCGCTGCTGCTGCTGCTAGTAGCGAGACGACGGCGACGACGGACATCCTGCCGACGACGGCGACGACGGACATCCTGCCACCTAGCGAGCATAACACGTACGAACCGGCCGCCACCCACGAACCGACGGAAACGGATGCATACGAACCTACGGGAACTGAAACATTCGAAGCTACGGCAGCGGAGAGGCAAGACTACACGGCCCCTGACGTCGGAGAAGCATCCGAGAATCTGCTCATCGGAGAATTCGTTAGAGAGAACGAATCCGACTACGGCATCCTGCCGCCCAAGCAGACGACGACACCGCATCCCCCATGGATGGATGGCGTAATTGATAGCGACGACGACGAGCTGCTTCAGCCTCTGGTCTTCGACGAGCTGACGGCGGAGACGGTGGCGCCGCCTCCCGGCGCGCTGAACAGCGGCGACGCGGGACTGCAGCAGCAGGAGGACGTCGTGTACGAGGAGATGCGGGAGTACGACTACCGGATGCTGTCGGCGCGACACCCGGCCTTCGTCGCCTTCCTCGCCATGGGTGCTATCTCCCTCATCGTCATCACGCTCGTCTGCTGCTACTGCCGACCGCGCAAGACCGTCGACGGTAAGAAGAGGGCGCTGCGATCGTTGCTACGTGTGAGGGCATCATAGTCGTTGTTGCGATATGGATGGATGGATGGATGGATGGATGGATGGATGGATGGGCGGACGGACGGACGGACGGACGGACGGACGGACGGACGGACGGACGGACGGACGGACGGACGGACGGACGGACTGACGGACGGGCTGACGGACGGACGGGCGGACGGGTGAATGGATGGATGGATGGATGGAAGAACGGAAGGGCGGCTGAATTGAACGCTGGTTTGTATTGTTTGATTGAATGACTCTATTAGTCTTGCTATGTTCATATTAGGAACGCAGTAATTACAAATAAGTTTTAATAAAGATTCTATTTTTAACACATTATTAATTTAATTTAACACATATTTATTTCAATATTTATCATTTTACTTGTTATTTTTTTAAGATTTTTATTCATGAAATTCGTATAAAGATCGTTATTTAATTCACTCCTCGTGTTTTACTCAACATTTTACACGTCATTTCATAACATTTCAGGTTTGTCGGCGGGAGAGCGCTCGGCCGGGACCGAGCATGTGCACAACAACGAGTCGATCGGCACCATTGTCGTCGGCGCCTTCGTTCTGTCGACTGCTGCCATCATCGTCAGCGTCTGCAGCGCCACCATCATCATCTACGACTCCTGGTACAGGTCGCGCCGACGTCCGCCGAATCTAGAGGTCATCATGGAGCGTCATATGTCAAACATCGAGCTGAAGGAACATGATCCGATGGCTGTTTCTGCCTTGTGACAGCCCCGCCCCGCCAAGACAGCTAGAGTGTGCGCTAATAAAATAAAATAAAAAAGCACAGTAATCGCTACAAGATGGCGCGCACAAGTTTGCTCACACAAGATGGCGCGCACAATTTAAACGGCGCGTTCACACGGACGTTTTTGGCCCGAGCCTAATTAGGTCCGCGCCAGATTTGGCTCGAGCCGAGCGTTCACACGGACGGTTTTTCGGGCCGTGCCAATTTGGCACGAGCCAATTTGGTCCCATCGAAAACGTCGGACCAGGCCCGAGCCAAATTTTAGCACCAGCTTTCGGCGAACGGTAGAGCGGTAGAATCGGTTGAGCGGTAGATGCCGCGAGTGTCGAACGTGTACTTTGACGAAATAAAGTCCAAAACAGTATAAAAATTCGAAAAATTTGATCAGGATGCACGTTTTCAAGATTGATAATTCATTTAATTGAACTCGAACGAGGAAGTAAACACTCTGAATCGTACACAACGCCATCTCGGACATACTGCCAAATAACTGTGAGATATTATGTGGGCAATAAAATATTTGATTTGAATTTGAATTTGACAGACAGTATTCACTTGCGTACGTGTGAACGCTCCGACTCAAACCGGCCCGAGCCAAATTTGGCCCGAGCCAAATTTAGCCGATTTGGCTCGAGCCAAACCATGACCGTGTTAACGCGACTTTTGGCTCGCACAAGATGGCGTGCACAAGTTTGCTCGCACAAGATGGCGCGCACAAAATGGCGCGCACAAGTTGGTGCGCACAAAATGGCGCGCACAAGATGACGTGCACACTAGATGACGTGCACGCAAGATTGCGTACATAGCCTACAGTTGCATCGTGTGGATTGAACATTTCTGTACTGTTTTTGTAACACAGCAGGTTAACGTGTCCCTAGCAGTTGACTAGCAAATATTATAAATTTATAGACGATACCGAATTCACGTGGAAATTGTCACGTACACTCAATACATATATTTTTCTAAGTATTTAGACTATTTTTATATACTGTGGGTGGCGCCGTTATATGGTGTGGTCCAATCAACAATGTTTTAATCCGCTTAACGGTGATAGAGGCTAAGCTATGTCTCCACACACGCGGCACGACACGACACAGCAAAACGCAGCGCGGTTGTGCTGATAAAAAAATACATTGTGATTTCGCGCATTGTGTTCAATCTGGTTCAGTGATCAGAAATTTAAGATATAATAGATTTGAACTTTGCCGGTAGGGGTGAACGACGCCGTTTCCGTGGCGTTCCGTGCCGCGCCGCGTGTGTGGAAACGGGCCTCCACGCCACTCCAGGTGTGGGGGTGTGTGGAAAGGCTCCATTCCCTCCCTCATGCCGTGACAAAATCCGTGACTAGCCAAGGGTAGAGTCCCTTTATATTGAGTCTCTGTATAAAGGGACTCTAGCCAAGGGCAATTTAATGCCTCCGCAAGAACGAAATTTCATAATGATGAAATATAATAGATGAAAATGACCCTAAAATTAATGTCGTCATACGTTATGGAAGAAAATCTAAATCTAGCCTAATGTAATTCTAAATTGGAGTAAACTATTTAGTTGAATTAATTGGTTAATTATATTTTTTGTTGATTAGACTCTCTCGCTATCTTTCCCTCTGAGCCCCCGCCCTTCTTCCCGCCCTCTCTCATATTTGCGCTCTCTCTCTCTGTCTCTCTCTCTTTCTCTCTCTTAATTCCTCTCTTTTCCTTTTCTCTCTTACTCTCCCTTTCTCTCTCCCCCCTCCACTCTTCCCTCTCCCTCTTTCTCCCTCCTTCCCTCTCTCTTCCTCCTTCCTGCTCTCTCTCTCTCTCTCTCTCTCTCTCACGTAGACATACTTAGACTAGTCATGTAGTGTTGTGAGTAATATTACCGTAGTATATCGTGACGACGATGTGTCAGTCTAGGTGTATAGAGTTACGAAACGACGATGTGTCAGTCTATGTGTATAGAGTTACGAAACG